GTTTCAAACTCTAAAATTGTATTACTGGCTATACTTATATAGGCCTTTTACTGGTTTTGCACTTTCAGATTGGTAGCCTGACACCCAGTCACATTATGCCATGTTAACATAACACTGCATTAAGCAACATTTCCTTTTTACATAAAATATGTTATTCTATCATGTGTAATTTCCATTATATACTCATTTTGTCCTCTGTTTCCATAATTATTTTTAATACTCAATACTTGTCTTAAATATCGCCCCAAACGTGGTATAGGCGTATGTATTTTTCTTGTGTTTACTACTTTCAAGATCTTACATTGCCGAGATTTTGTGAAACTGTTTCACCATTGGTAACGGGGTCCTTAGTCTAATATTCTTAAAGAACGTGTGATGCAACGCGATGATTCTGGTGATCTAATTGACCAACCATCAAATTACAAAGTGGGTTCAAAACGGCTTAACGCATAAGCCTAACTAACGTATGAGAAAGAGGATTTCCATTGAATCTAACGAGTTTAAATATTTTTATAAGGAAATTAGGTATAATTAGTCATACATATATACGTGTGTGTGCGTTCTTTGATATTGAATATTTACAAATATTATTCATTAATTTTTATTTTTTCTACATTTTTTAGTTGTACTCGACACCAACATGTGGTACCATAAAACCTTGATCGTCGGAGATGAAATGAGCATCACAATTGGTTCTGAATACGACTGATCAGTGATGAGACGAAAACCACTATTGGTTCTGAATACGACTGATCAATGTTCAGCTTGTTTTTTGTTTCTGTGATGAACTATGTTTCCTTATTGAGTCGTTAAATATCTAAGCAACTTGCTAATATCAATAATCAAGTGTATTGCAATATGTAAGGGTTGTGTGAAAATGCGCCCTCTATGGTCGTTCCGTAAGTGAAATATACATTTACGTCTTCTCTCAGATGAAGTATTAAGTTGCTGATGTCTGAGGCCAGCGCTAGTGAGTTGGAAAATAAATTAAATATAATTCATTATTTGTATTTTTTTGCAACAAAATACTTGATTCATATTTCCTTAAAATAACAGTTAGGCATGCATTTTGAGATTTAATTCAAAAAATAATATAGTTTCATGGACAACTCCTCCTAAACCCCCTTACCTTATTAATGGTCTGTGTAATCTGGCAAATCTGTTGATTGGGTCTCGCATCCTCTAAAGTAGACACCTTCATCAAAATTCATGTTGATGATTGAACAAGTGTGTTAAATTATTGATTGACGTTTTGAATGAATAAATTAATGAGCCACTGAAAATACATAAAATTTAATACATCTTTTATTTTCATAACTGTACGAGATTTCATGTCCAGAAGTAAGGTATTGTAAGCTTAGAATTAAAGGTAGGGTATTTTCGAAGAAAAAAAAAAGCTCATCACCCGCTCACTAAAGTAACGAGCTATTCTTGTCAAGAACGAAAATACGCACACTGCTCAAAACAATTAATGTATTTCAGCTGTGAAAAGTCGAAGCCAAAGTTAATAAATAAAGTAAATAACATCCTTGAATTTATTTTTATATAAAGCAACTATCACGTGACTTGATATACAAATACCTACTACTGAAGTTCTTCTCCAAATATTCACTGAGTACTACAGACTCCACAAATGTTCTTTTGGTAGTACAGGCTCCACAAATGTTCTTTTGGTACTACAGGCTCCACAAATGCTCTTTTGGTACTACAGACTCCACAAATGTTCGTTTGGTACTACAGACTCCACAAATGTTCGTTTGGTACTACAGACTCCACAAATGCTCTTTTTGGTACTACAGACTCCACAAATGCTCTTTTGGTAGTACAGGCTCCACAAATGCTCTTTTGGTAGTACAGGCTCCACAAATGCTCCTTTGGTACTACGGACTCCATAAATGCTCTTTTGGTACTACGGACTCTATAAGCTCTCTTTGGGTACTACACACTCCACTTTATTAGTGACATTGCAGTTCAATAGATGACCAAAAATTTTGTTATCAAGGAGTATGAACACTTTGAACATTAATATAAGTCATAGATCGATGGGGAAAGCTTAAAAGGAGTGAATCAATGAGCTACTGAGATAATATGGATTTCTCCTCCACCAGAGCTGCTTCCAAATCATTAGCATTGGAAGAAGAATCGCGTGCTGCCAAGCGACTTTCTAGAGCATTCCATGCATGTTCAATCGGATTCGAGTTCGGTGAGTCTGTTGGTCAGTCCAGTTACTCTCTACCTTTCTCTTCCAGGATGTTGCTACTAAGCAGTTAAGCATTTTGAGGTCACACATTATCACCTATAACAAAACATTTTGATCACCTGCACCTAGTATGGTAACACAGTGATTTTAAGACTCAATCCCTATATCGTATGACACCCATAGTTCATATCGTAGCGCAACAAGATCCGTGTGGCCACCAATAGTGATCCCTGCCTAGATTAGTATGCCACTTCGCCATGTGTGTGTCTTTCTCTTCTCTATGAAATTGAGATTGGATCTAGTCTTGGTCACTCTTCAAATAAGTATTTCACTCGCTCCTGTCTGCAGTATGCTGCGTTATTCATTTGTTGACAAGATATGCGCCTACATGTCGTTTAACCAATCCTCGCGCTCTTCACTGAAGACATGTTTTTTTCCTGGTAGTTAAGATCACACATTATCGGTCGTTTTATGAACCTGTTTTTAGCCGTTTATAACAATTGTGAAGTGTGGAAGCTGATGCTGGCTGGTCGTTTCAAGACTATATGCGGTCGTCGTATTGAATGGTCTACTCTGTCATGGCCTCAGTTAATTATATTGATGACACTTTCAGTCACTTTGCAACGTGTTTGGCCAACTTCTAGCCGACCTGTTGGCCTCATCATCATGGAAATGTCCAAATGTCGTCGTTAGGGTCTTCATTATCAATCTGGATGTTTTTGCAACACTTTGCTATTGTTCAAATTAATAACCCTGGATGTGTTCTTCTCTGTTGAAATGTCCATATGTCGTCGTTAGGGTCCTTGCATACTTCATTATCAATCTGGATGTTTTTGCAACACTTTGCTATTGTTCAAATTAATAACTCTGGATGTTTTTTTCTCTGTTGAAATGTGCACATCAGATGAAGTGACTGGTTACCTGACAAGCGTTTACATAAAATATAAATCAAAATCCAGGATGTCACTCACATTATTTGATGACAGTACATAAGCCTTGTTGTACCTAAACACAAATGTTCCTGAATAACGATCTAAAAAAAATTTGGTAAAGACTAGTTCATTTAATACGGTTGTTCTATTATGCTAATTACAAATATATTTAAATTTGTAGAATAAATAAATCTGATTTCTGTTACTAACGTAAGAAGCAGATGTATATGTCCAACATAACTTGATGGATTGTTTTAAGTTATGGATTACATCTGTGATGCGTGAACAAAACTAATAATTAATAACTAATTAATCACTATAAATCGCCCCTCCCCCTCGGAGGCTAAGCGTTAAATATGATGGTTTATAGCCCTGAAAATTGGGCTTCGATACCCGCGGTGGGCAGAGCACAGATAGCCCATTGTGTAGGTTTGTGTTTAACAACAAACAACCACCGCAAGTCATTGTGTAGAATGTACTCGTATTGATAACAATATGCCCTAATAGTAAAAAGACAAATTCGTAGTGTACCTATTCAAAAGAACATGTATTTTTTTTTATTGTCGTCCATTTAAAGTGCTTTTTTTTCTGATATTAACGTGTTTTATTAATTCATTGACCTACACTTACAAACAAATTTCTGGGTGACATTATTGACGAAAATATTTGGGAAAATTATTACATTTTTATGTAATAAGACCTGTAGTTAGTATAATACTTAATGTTTTCAATCTTAAACCTATTTGTTATGTGAGAAGTTGGACGGTTCAAAATGATTAGTATACTTTCGACTGAAGAATTAATTTACTAACACCAAACTAAGCATCCAGTTCATTAACACCATTTTCACATTATTTTGTAAGATTAAAAAATTGTTTGTTTGTTTTATGTCGGGCGTACAAAGACTGCGACAGATCACGTGACGATATTCATTTGGAATATTGTTTTGAGTCAACTTGTGTGTCTGTGCGGAGTTACTGAAGCTCAAATGTGAGGTTTAGATTTTACGATTGTTGACTTTTCAGCGAGAAAAGAACTGACTGTAAGGTACGGTACCATCGACATCATATCGTGTTGTGCCAGTCAACATCATATGTAATGAAGTGTTATGTTTCTCATTAAAATTTTGAGTTACAATTATATCTATTAAAAGGAAAGTGGGAAAATGAAATGTTATTATTTCTCCCAACTCGCATCTTTCAGAATGTCAATGTTTTTACATCCACAGCAGAATAACATGAAGTCGTAATGATGTAGAACATTTTGAAGTCAAGTTCCACAGCATAACCTAAGAGTGGCACTTGAGAACTGGAATGAAAGTGATCTCTTTTTTTTAACGAAACATCATCACTTAACATTCACCAAGTAAACAGTTTAAACCTGTTACATTAGGTCATACGGTATTTGTATCGCATGAAACATCATGTGACGTTATCATATGATATTCTTATTAAGTAAACACAGACTTTTTGCACTCAAAGTTATGTTAAACGCATATATTGTTGTCATGTAATCATTGTTAGATTAACACCGTGTTCTGTTGTTTTCAATGAAATACTGTATGGATATTAGTTATTGTTGTCATAACACTCGTTAAACTGACATCAGGCACTGTCGTCTTCACCATCTTGCTGCTATCCATATCCTATTAAGTCGACTTACTCTTTTGCTTTCATGAAAATCATGATTGGTCAGCCTCACACTTCTTATCTTCCATCATTATTGTGTTAGGTTATTATTATTATATTGTAAACAGATTTTGTTTTTATCAAAATTGTGTTGATTTGACAACCCACCTTGCTTTCAGAAAAATCTTATTAGAGTCAACTTAGTAGAACAACTCTGAGGGGCACGTATTGGTCTTAGTGGTAGAATTCTGGATTAAGAAGCCGATGAGCCCGGTTCGAATCGGTGCCATACTACAAAATATTCCTGCAGTTGGAGCTGTGGGTGCGGTATAATAGTGACAGATAATCTCTTAGCGTAGATGGAGTGGAGTGCTGATTACTTACTGCCCTCTCTCTCTCTGGTCAGTATTTTAAAATTAAGGAGTGTGGCTGATAGCCTTACAGCTTTGGCGTAAATACAAAACAATTATGTTATTTACGAATATTTTTATTAAATTATTTTTGTAATTTGTGGAACAACTCAGAACACATGCTAGGTCAAAATCATATTATATTAAGTAAACAAATGGGTCCAAAACCAACACTACTTGGAAAATATCATAATTTCGTCAGACTAGAAAAGCTTGCATTTCTTGTTAGATACCCGTACATAAATATTTTTCTTTTACAATATAATAAACAAAATAAATAAATAAAACCAAAAGTTGTAAATATGGCGTTACATTTGTATTCAAGCAAAGTGTGTCACCCGGTAAAAATGTCAAACAGAACTCAATACCACGAGGTTATGTTGAAGGTATCGAAAATATATTCGAAATTGGAATCGTAAATGCTTGATCTCGTTCTCTTCCTCCCTCTGGCGGAAAGATACTTGATATATTTAAATTGAGTCGTTTATCTAGTCTTGTTTGAAACTGAGTGAACAGCTGCTTACCGTTCTATAATTGGAAATGAGCTCATGCATACACGTAGATGTCTTAAATTCTCGCGTGAATTATGTTTCACTAAAATTCCTAAGGCACACATTTAACAACGTTGTTGTTGTTGTTCATCTACGTTGTTTAAAAGCCCTGTGAGCACAAACAGCGTCAATAGCATGAACCAGTGCTGCGACTAGACCAAAAACCTGAAGAGAGAAGGCAAAATTTATTTAGATTATTTTAGAAATGAAACAAGAATGATATACGTCATAGTTATAGTGGGCCGTCTTATACGACCAGACAAATCAGATAATTGTTGTTGTTACTATAGTACTGTGGTTGTTTTGAAAACATTTTATAAAAGTATATTTGAAAGAGAGAAAATGTGGAATTACTATTTTTATACAGATAGTAATAATAAGTTAAGATTTTAACTCTTAATGATTTAACTACGGTTTTTTTAAAACTTCTGTTACTAAGGAACCGAGCTCTGATACAGTTACAAAAATAACTAATACTTACCGAAACTGCCATCATAGCAGGATATGCTTGAAAATATGGAGTAACCAGGTAGAGCGGCCATAAAATGAAATACGTCCTAATTAATAAAAAAATTGAAGAGCCAGTATAAAGCATAGAAGCCACAGAATTTTGCACCGTTTCCTGCAAATAAAAATAAGTTACTTTTAATATAAACTATGTTCTAATTAATACAAAAAACTGAAAATCCAGTGTACATTGATTGATCAGTGAGAGTTGTATCACATAGAGAAGATATTTCCACATTTATTCTGATTGGTCAGTTAGAGATATATCATATAATGAAGCTATTTCTACATTTATTCTGATTGGTCAGTTAGAAATATGTCATAGAAAGAAGCTATTTTTACATTTATTCTGATTGGTCAGTTAAAAATGTATCATATAGAGAAGTTATTTCCACATTTATTCTGATTGGTCAGTTAGACATGTATCATAGAAAGAAGATATTCCCACACTTATTCTGATTGGTCAGTTAGAAATGTATCATAGAAAGAAGATATTTCCACACTTATTCTGGTTGGTCAGTTAGAAATGTATCATAGAAAGAAGATATTTCCACATTTATTCTGATTGGTCAGTTAGAAATGTATCATATAGAGAAGCTATTTCCACACATATTCTGATTGGACAACTACAGAAAGATTGTATAGATAGAATGCAGTTTCGGCACTTTCGGAGCATATTCATTCTGACCTGAAGAGGGCAGTTTTTGTTATTTATTTATTTTTAGTCTGAGAGCCAGAAATCACTGTGAAGCTGTGTCACTGTTTACTCAAGTAGCCTTGAATGAAATTCAGATAAACGAACACACTTTTCTACTAGTGCCTGCTGGTCATTTGTTTCTTAACTCTATTGCCAGTAAGGTTTATTTTAACCTTACTTTAATATTCTTGATAAATGCTGTCATCTCTTATTTAGTTTCTCCATCTAAACCCAGTTTAAGTACATTGTTTACTTTTTTTCGATACTCTGTAGTCGTTCTACCCATAGCAAGTTTAGAAATGTGTTTCCAGTGTATATTTCTAGTTTTAGCTTCAACGCGTGCAATGTCTTTTTTTATTTCATTTCACCTGTAAAAATCCACCTGTCTTTTGGCATTTTAGAACCACGAGCTCATGTGACTGTACGCAGTTATAACATTGGATTACCACAATACTATAGTTTTGTATGTCTTTGGTGAAGACATCTTTAATGGAAGTATGACAACAAGACTTGCCAAGACTTTCTGTAAAATAAAACAAAGCCCACAAAGACGACCTGTAATACAACAACTTTACGAATGATGTTCCACAAAGTTTGAACAGTACGTTATTCAGATTTAACAGCTTTATTGGATCTTACCAAAATGGTTGTTCGGGCTGCTCTGAATGTGTGGCTAGACAAAAGATAGGAGAGGAGAGTAACAGCAGCACCCAAGAACGTAGCACTTGCAGTAGTAAGGAAGAATCCATAGGCTGGGCCTAGCAACAACCAAACAGGAGTCCCGTACGTTATCGTTAGCCCCAAGCATATTCCACCCAAAACCTGAAAAAAAGTAGAAATAACTGTTGTTTATAAACAAAATAAATAAACTGAGTTATTCTAACTTTCTCGGAGCAATAAATTATTATTAATTGTTTTGATTTGGATTTCGCGCAAAGCTACACAAGGACTATCTGCGCTAGCCGTTCCTAATTTAGCAGAATAGACTAGATTATAATGTCCCTCCCCACCTTGCCCGGCATGGCCAGGTGGTTAGGGCTCTCGACTCCCAATCTGCGGGTCGCGGGTTCGAATCCCCGTCCCACCAAACATTCTCGCCCTTTCAGCCGTGGGGGGCGTTATAATGTGACGGTCAGTCCCACTATTCGTTGGTAAAGGAGTAGCCCCAGAGTTGGCGGTGGGTGATGATGACTAGCTGCCCTCCCTCTAGTCTTACACTGCTAAATTAGGGACGGCTAGCGCAGATAGCCCTCGTGTAGCTTTGCGCGAAATTCATAACAAACCAAACCCTCCCACAGCGTGTTCAGTGACTAGGATTCGAATCCGCGACACGCAGATTGCGAGTCGAGCGCCCTAATCACCAAACTATGTCAGGCTCTTTTATTATTAATACTATCACTAGGGTTATCGTGTCTTTTACTTATAACAATTACTCTTGTCAAATACATAAAATCAAAACGGTGTTTGGGGAAGTATTTAACTATTGCGCAAAATACATTTTTATCAGTTTTTTGTTTTCTTTAAAAAACAAAATTTTTAAAACATACTGAACTTATAAATAAACAATTAAACTTATAACGACTTTTATATTTTACATTACATAAAGTATCACATTTCCGACTTAAAATATCATAATTTTTTTTTGTATCTCAGGAATTCCGTCACAGCTTTGAATAAAAAAAAAGGAGAGTAGAAAATAGACGTACAGGGGTTACGACATAATGTACCCAAGTGTAAGTTCGTGCGATGACCTAAGGTTCCTCAACGGCAGACATGCAGTTGCTATTTTTGTCTCCTTCACAGACGGTGTAATCACTTTTTTATTTAAAGTTTTTTGGTGTATTTTTAAGAAACTTACACCGGTATATATGAACGAAAAGCTTAAATCTCTAAGGGGAAAAAATGTTAGAACCAGATTCGATATTAAGCCTAGATTAAGTGTTAAAAAAAAAGAGTAAAAATCGGCATTGTAAATCCATTTCTATTTGGTAAGCACAAATCTGCACAATGGTCTATCTGTGCTCTGACCACTTTGGGCTTCGAAACCCAATTTTTAACGACGTAAGCTCTCGGACTTGCTATTGAGCCACCAGAGTTGGGTCTGTAAATCGAACTAAAATGATTCGGAAGGAAATAAACAAAGAAAAGGCACACAAGGCGCATAGGCTAAGAAAAGGGTTGATGATGCTAGAAAAAAATAAATTAAAAATATAACTCAAACGGGATAATTTTTAAAGTGCTATAACAAATTAGATTTTCAGATGTTGAAAGTGTGGTGGACTCGAGCTATTACGAAATTTTTAAGAAAGGAAACCAACAAATTAATGTTACATTCATATCAAAACAAATACTTGTATAAAGATTTACGGATTTTCTTTTATAAAAAAAAGTACATGTACTGGAGAAACACAATTTAAAAGGAAATTAAAAGGTTATTACTCCATACGATGGCTTGCTGACACTCGTTTTGAATGCTTCCTGCTTGTATTGTCTATTTTCAAGTGTCTTTTCTGGGCTTATTAAAAATATGTTCATGCTTTACAAAAAAAGATGTATTTGCAGCAATAATAATTTCAAACTTACAACCGATATTTCGTTTTTTCGCCTCGAGTGGAGCTATGATAAGACGTAGTTTAGTCCTAGTGAAGGAAAACAAAAACATCAGTACGAAATTCAAGTTTTTAGCCTTCATAATAAATATTTCGTCAGAGCTACGATAAGACGTAGGATTTAAGAAGGAAAACATCCATGCAGATAGTTCACACATCTACGGTCTAATCCTATCTTTAGGGTTATTAACTTATACAGTAATAATGCGTTCGTATATTTGAGTTCTCTACAGTTGATTTTTAACTTACCACTTCTCCTACTTTACAGATTCCAGGCTGAGTTGTAAGGAATTCCGTGTGTATAATAGAATAGCATCTTCTCTGGAGATGAGGGACCCGAGTATGGGCACTGTTCACCATAACGGTTGGCATTCGGATCGTTGTTCACGTAAATCTGCAACTCGAAGTTTCAAAACGAGACTTGTTCGAGATGACACGAGATTGGCTTATTTCCAGACTCAAACTGACGTCGGAAACTTTGGACTTATTTGATTTTTAGGAAAACCTATTGTGGTTTACAAAACGTTGCTATATAAAACATAAACATCACTTGGCCCATAGGCTGCATGAAACGACGTTCTATTTGAATATTCCTAATAATAGTATCTTTGTAGGAGTCATTCAGCGATATGTATTTCAGAATTTCTAACTTTCTCTCTTAGACTTATGTCAACTGATCAGTGAGTATCGAAAATGCTTTCAATAAGAAATTAACACCGACAAACGGTGAAATAGTTGATTAGCTGTTGTGTGATTTTACACAAAGCAGAGAGTGGTAAAATATGATCAGCATGACGGTACTTACTTCTAAATAAGTAAGTTGACCATCACGAAATAAGATTATCTGAACGCTAG